GTGTGTGTGTGTGTGTGTGTGTGTGTGTAGGTAAATTTGGTTTCATTAAAATATAAAGAATATATAAAGTTGTTCAGACGTTCTTATTTTTTGACGCTCCTCCTTTGGGTCTAAAAAAGCAGAGCTCTTCTCTCCATGTTCAACTGATTGAAACTTTGTGAATCTATTTATTAGGATTCTTTGTAACATGCAGTATATGATTTATGCAGCCAAGGATAACGTATTAGAACAGTTATATTCTTTCTAAAGTCCAAAAAAAGAGACAAAACCCTTTTTTCCCTCTCACCATTGTTTGTTTGTGTTTGCTTGTTTTTTCTTTTGTTTGAGTTGACAGCAAGCTGCTCTCTTTAATTTCAGATTATAAAAATGACTACCTCTGCTTTAATCCTCATGAATCTTTGTTAACAGAATTTTGCTAAAGCAAGACCACACATGTACTGCTAGATAAAGACTTTGTCTCCAAACGAATCATGGTTTTCTTCCAGGGCAGTAAGACTCCGGATGTAGCAGTGGTGGGAGTCACTGAATGCTTTAATGAAGGGAGATTAATTTCTTATATCCACTGAAATTTAGTAAAACTTTTGTGTAAATTGTCTGATTGCTCTCATGTTTCTGCAGACCTCCAGCTCTACACCAGAACTTGACCAAACTGGACAGTGCTACCATGTCAACAGAGCCTGAGGCTGCAGATCTTTACTGAAGGCTTCCCATCCAAATTCTATCAAATCTTTTGAAAGCAGATGGTCAGATTCACATTAAAGATTTTAACTGAGTCTTTTAAGTCTTTTAAATCTTGGACCAGGTTTTTATCTTGTTGCTTTGGAAAAAAGGTAAAGACCCTTTATTGTTTGCTTCATACTATCTGTTTATATGATGCTGGCATCAAACAGCTGGTAAAGTTACTCAGCTGTTTAGAAGCAGTTTTACCCTCAGTCACATTGCTGGACCAAACTGGTTTTAGCAGTTTTAGGCAAAAGCACTTCTCCCAGCTTAGATGTGTATTATTTCCTCAGTATTATACATACCCTGCTAATGTGGATGAAAGGACTGGAAGCTGGCTAAGTGTGAGCAGCGGCGGCCTGTTGTGAAGACTTTCAGCCAGCTTGGATCTCCTGCGGAAGAAGTCCTGTTGCAGAAAGGAAACAGGGCTCAACAGCTCCTCCTGGCAGAAAGAAAAGTCGTCATCACCAAACAGGCTGTCCAAAACTGTGTACTGGGACATCATGATACCGATGGACACTGCTCGATATAACAGTTGGTTTTGTTATATCTCTTCAGCTTCCTCAGTTTAAGTCTTGACTTGTTTTGAACATTCTCAGCAGCAGTTCTTTATATACTTCAGCTGCTGCACAGGAACCCTCCCATGATGCTATTTAAAGCCTGTGAGCTCACTGCAGTGTGTCATCATGTACCAGTGAGGTCAGGAATGCCCTGCTACTCATCAAAAAGCTAAAGAAAGCCCTTTGGTCATGTCTTATTTTCAGCATGTGGCCTAGAGGAGGTGTCCCTTTTCTTTGGGAGGCATCACCCTGACCCTGATATAAGTCTCATAAATAAAGTGACTAAGTTTTACTGTTTGATGATATGGATGTAAGCCATTTAAAAATCAATTATTTTYATTTATGAAAACACACATATACCTATATATTGATGCAATACATTTGGTTTATTGTGCAAATGTCTTTTTTTAATTACAGTCTTATAAGAAATAAGGTAACATTGTCAAAGATTGTCAATTTTTTTTAACACATTTCCTGTTGGAATTTGATCCAATAAGACAAACTTAAACATGTGGCACATTCCTAACAGGTTATAYTGAAAACCTGAGTAGTATCCAGCCAGGTCTGACCTCTGAGTTGTTTTGACAGAACACTGTTGTCTCATTTGCAGCTAATAAAAATRTTTTGAAAACAAATCCAGAATAAATTTGAATCTATTATCCCTACTTTTTTGTTTATTGAGCAACTGTGTTCATCAGAGTCCACAACTTTGACTGGAACTYAGTTTGGTTTTCAACTCCAGTTCTTTATTTTAGGGTGGAAGCTTCTTGTCCTTAAGTTTTAAAGCCCCCAATTCACATTACTTTATGCTGAATACTTTCATGATTTTATTCATGTATTTCACATCTTAGTTATTTTTTTTTACAAATGCTTCAAAACAGTCCAGGTGACCTGCTTAACCAAACAACATTTTATGATTCAAGATGAATAAATGCAGTTTCTCTGTTACAGGTTTCAAACTTTGTTTTCAGCCCAAGTTTATCTCTTGGCCCAGTACGGTCTTGTAAACTCAGGTCATCCTGTATTTACCTGTATGCAATCAGAGACCTGCCAGATTAAGTTTACAGCTCACACTGATGAGTAAAGAGGCTATAACCAGTAACAAACCTCAAGGYACAGTGGTAAACAGTGTCCAAGATCTGGAGACATTTGACTCATGTWCAGCACATCACCATATACGTACACCATATGATAAAACTTCAGCAACCAAGTTAGCAAAATGAGCATTAAATGATCGCTCACAACCAAGACAAAAAACTAATTATTAACCATTTGAAACACTTTGAAATAAACTGCTGGTAAAGTTTTCAATTAAAATTTTAATTCAATTCGCTTCATTCATAAAGCACCAGTTCACATCAAAAGTGATGCAGGGCTTTGTGCAAAAAACATTCACAGACATAATCCTATTTATTAATAGTTATTTAGAAG